TCAATATGTTACAACTGCTTATTAAGCACACCCCGTGACTTGAAACTGAAGCTTTAAGAGTTCACTAAGACTTCAACCTTATATGTTATAGTGAGCGGTGGAATTTTGATCGCGATATCATTGGCGTCTGATTGAATTTGAACACAATTCGTCCGTGAATTTGTGGCTACATGATCTATTAATAAAACACAAATAAAAAATTCGTCAATTCATACCTCTATTAATTTATTTCTTCTAAATTCAGCACGGTCACTAATACCCTACTCGACTTAATTAACCCTTAAGAGTCTATTATAATCTGACGATGAACAATGGTCAAACCAAAAAAAGCACCACTCAATGTCACGTCTTAAACTGAGAACTTTGGACAGATTCATGCTTTTTATGGGAGCTTTTGTGCGTTTTTTCTCACAGCTTAAGAGGCATCTGAAGGAGCACGACTCGGTAACGCACAGAGAGATGTTATCGCCATTACAGGACCGAGAGGCATCGCCCACAGACATTTCGACACGTCCCGGTACGCTCAAAACCCTACTAAATTTGTTATTTTAGGCCAACGATTATGCTTTATCATCAAACATCTGATACATTTTCGACACAACCCCAAATTAAGGCACTATTTTGACATTTCGCTCGATGCGTAACATTCACGTACGTAATCATTAGAGCGACGTGTGATGTCACAAAAAATAATCCAAAAACATTCCTCGATAAAGACGTCTCACAAGAGACCGGCGGTTTCCCACGACGGCTACCCAGATAAGAGTCTTATGTTTTTGCAGCGTCATAACCGCGCATTGCCGTCGGCGCTTCGTCACCTGCGGACGCAAAGTTGATATAAGACGCCAATAAATGTCACTTTTTATGAGACGGTCGGCTCGTGGATTCATGTCACGTGCGAGCGCGCCGTAAGATTTGTATCGAGGCATGTTCGCCACCCTGGCTGGTCCGTCGCGCGCCATTCTCTCACGCGGCCCCGCTTGCGACGAGACCTCTCCTCGCGCTAATCTCGTCGACAATCGACTATTAACGCCCGAGGCGAAACATTTTCCGACAATGCTCTCATTAGCCTCACAAAGGTCATTAAATCTCGGAGAGCGTTGTGCAGGTATTGTAACAACGTCACGTACAACAAGAGCGCTAACGACGTGTGGAGGATCTCGGGGTAGCGGAACCAATCCCGTCCAAATGCCATCCGTCCGTTCTTTCATCAATGTGTCTACACGTTTGGGCAGAAAGGGCCAACGGTCCGGAATCGTTGTTATCTTCGTTCTTCGATCATCGATCGCTATTATCCTATTTAAAAGCCTCTCGATTTGTTCTTAACTTTTTTTTTCCATTTCATTCTCCTGTCCGACCGTTTCAATCCGGAGCCTCAACAATGGGCAAGTTAAGAAAGATGTTTAAGTGTTTAGTTACGCTGTTTTTTCACAATTTTTCAATTTAAACGCAGTCGTGTCGATGAAGGGCCGGAAGGTGTCGTTACGCCGCATTACCAATACTAATAAAGACGAAAACACAATGGATAATACACACGTCGTAAAAATTTTACTTTTACTCGCATTGCCAGATAAACATCTGCCATAGCGGGATAAAATTCGTATTGTACTGAGTTGATCGTATCTCTGATGGTTACCTGATGAGATGTGAACAAAAATGATTTTTAATGTCGCTAATAAAAGAGATATAAACAATTCACAAACTCTTCGCTTTATCACAAACGTAATCATTAAAGTGAATTCCGGTTAACGTATTAATTGGTGAAGAGCTGATCGGGTCTGGCAGAGGGGCGTCGGTCGGACCCACACGAAGCGTGAAATCGCGGGGAGCGGGTGCCTCACCTGGCCACCAAGGACCATCTTATTATTTGTTGTCTCCCATCCTCCATGCTCGTAAATTTTCACGTCAACGTGTGCGATGATCGTGGAAAAAACGAGGTCGACAATGCCTTTTCACACCGAAATGCAGACATAAAGACGACTGGCAAGGTCTTAGCGCGTCCAAGTATAATGTCCGGCTGGTCCGCTCGTAATGTGCGTGAAAAATTTTTCGTCGTAATAAATTCGGATTGTAATGGCTGATGGCGATTGGTTTGATATTTTAGTTGCATTTTTTTTTTGGTCGATCTTAACAAAAATAATAATAAAGCCTCTTGAAGAATTTAATGCATCGATCGAGACTGGTTTTGGCATTAACCGATGATCATGGCTACCACCTACAATTCTTAATGTAATCTTGTGACATTATTGGTTGTTTCATGTGGTCGCAGCGTGATAAATAAATTTGTTTATAGTCTTGTTGAAGTTTTTATATTTGTAACAATATCTTTATGTGTTTTCGAAGGTTCTACGTGTGGGGCGGTTGCGGTGATTTTTTAAACAAAATGATGTCGCAGCTCCAAGACCGTACGTTACAGAATTAAATGAGCCCGGTGTAATGCGTCGGCAATGAGCCGGAGATTTCAATGAAGAACTTACAATAAGCCGATCTATACTATAATCGTGCATAAAAATGTAAATGGATTCAGAATGTGCCACTTTCATAAGCTTAAATGTTCCAAGCGAAACAACTTAAAATAATGTCCGATACCGAGAGTTTTTTTTTTTATAATTAATTCTATTTCAAATTCTCATCTTACCTAATGATTATTTTAAGCTTCTGTAATACGCACAAATCAAATAAATATCTTTTTTTTTAAACCATTTGGTTATGATACTCCGCGTCGTTCATAATGATCGAGCTTAAAAAAAAAACTTTAAATTACAACAGAGTGTAATTAGATTTTTTCCTGCAGATTACATTTGTTTTGATTCAAAATTATTTTACATTTCGATTTCCGTGTGAAATCATAAGTTACAACTGTGTTTTCAGAGTTGGCAGCAGTATCCATGTTATTAAGCTTATGAGCAATGACGATTGCTTTAGGTTAGGTAATACCTCGGCCCTTCTCTTCTCCCCTTCTTCCTCTCAGGAGGCGCCGGAGTCCGACATAACCCGGTCCGTTACCCCCCTCGACCGGGTATCCGTAAATGGATTCCCCAGCGTTAAAAAAAAGTTAGGTAATAAATTAAAAACTGAAGTTTTACGGCGTAGCTGTCCAATTACGAAGAAGGACTTCTGATTCTGACGTCACAGGCTCGCCGCCATTAGAGCGAGAGATAACACAAAAAGATATTTCCGCTACGCTAGGTAGTAGCTTAGAATACCTCCAAAGGGGCATTTGGTTTTTTTTTTTTTTTTTTTTTTTTTTTTTTTTTTTTTTTTTTTTTTTTTTTTTTTTTTTTTTTTTTTTTTTTTTTTTTTTTTTTTTTTTTTTTTTTTTTTTTTTTTTTTATTGCTTAGATGGGTGGACGATCTCACAGCCCACCTGGTCCTAAGTGGTTATTGGAGCCCATAGACATCCACAACGTAAATGCGCCACCCACCTTGAGATATAAGTTCTAAGGTCTCAAGTATAGTTACAACGGCTGCCCCACCCTTCAAACCGAAACGCATTACTGCTTCACGTCAGAAATAGGCAGGGTGGTGGTACCAACCCGCGAGGACTCACAAGAGGTCCTACCACCAGTAAAATTATATCAGCGTACTGCAATTAGCTTGTGCTAGTTTTAAGGGTATATTGTAAGCCTGCACGGTTAGGTACCACCATCCTGCCATCCTGAAGGGACAGCTGCCATGTAAAATACTCGAGTCTTCGACCTCGTATAGGACAAGATGGGTGACGACATTCACATTATGATGTCTATGGAGTTAGGAAATCGTGAAGACAGTGAGCTCTCTCCATCAAACAAAGTAATAAAAAAGATTTCTCTTCCTTAACCACTACTATTTGAGTTATACGATGTTGTCATTTTATAACAAGCTTCTCCTTTTGAACTTTTCTTTCTTCCGTTTCTTGATGCCGTTACAAATGTTTAATGGAAATCCTCCCTCTTACTCTTTTTCATGAGACGCAATCGCTCAAAGTGAACATAATATATTTAAGTTAGTCGCCGAACCAGTAAACAACATCCAATTAAGATGGCATTTGTTATCTTTTTGCCGCATGTCCGCTAATTGAAAGTACGTCAGTGGCCAGTTTAATTGGCTTAATGTAATCTTCACTCCTATCGAATTATAGCCAAAACAGTTTTAAAAGCGAGCGGTAATTCTAAAAAAACTAGTATTTTGGTTGAATTGAACTAAATAAAATGGATGTGTATATATTTTTTTGTATTTCCGTAACCACCGACAAAGGACGAAATGTCAGGGCCGTATTATTAATTACTGTTAACTATCCGAATGCAGAAACTTGCATTTTTTTCTGACTAAAAAGTATATTAAGCGGGTTTATGTTTAGAGTTAAGCCGCTGACTCGAGAACTAAATGAAGTGACAGTTTTAAACAATGCCTAAACTGTTTTATCGAAACTATTTGGCATGATTTCTTTATTTTTTTTCAATTTTGCTAACCTAATACAAAGCTACCAGATTTATCGATCCTTCTTTATTTTCTTTATACTTAGCTACTTTACCCCTTAATATCTTTTTACTTTCTTTTTAATGCTGGTATAAAAATAAAAAGTGAAAGAAGCCCACTTGGGATTTTTATCTCTGGCAAATGTCACTCTCCCATTACTGTAACTGTTTTTCCGAAATCTGCAGCGGTGATCCAACGAAAAGTCTTTGAATAATGAGGTTCAGTTTTTTTTTAAATAATATATACTCGTTAAGAAATTTCAACAGGGCCAAGCTCGATGTGTTTATTAGTTAGTAACTCTTTAATCAAATGGATGTGTTCTATTCATTGAAATAAAGAAACATTAAAAAACAAATTCCGATGAAATTCCATAAAAAAACATAGCAATCTCTTTTTTTTTTAATGTCACTGTATGTACAATTTCATATGGTTCTAATGGTAAGTAGTTACCATTGCATAGACATGTGTAAAGCCATGAGCATAACTAAGCCCTTTCCTGATACTGGAAGTAAATCTCAAAATGATGAACATTACAAACTCACCTCTCTTCATTATAGCACTGGAATGAGGATTACTGCTCTTAACAGATAGACTGGAGCAGTTCCATCGATGCCATCGGAACTGATGCTGACACTCCTTGACCGCTAACTGAAGCCCCTCAAAGGCTATGGCAGTTGTATCCGGTGCTTCGTGGCAAACGGATCTCTGCTCTCTGGTCAAACCTCCAACGAGACGACACGTTAGTGCAGCGTTGAGCTTCGGGTGGCCTAAGTACATATTGTCTCGCGTGCTAGAAATAAATCAACACAAAAAAAGTCAGAATCTTGTCATTTATCTATATTAAAAATATTTCATTTAGTCTTGTTAATTATTAAAGGTTTCTCTTCGTACAGTTTGGATGAACGAAATTTTTAACTACCCGCAATTTAGTTTTTAAGATTTTCGGATGTTTATAGCATAGTTTTGTTTTGCTATTTATAAATTAAAAACAAAGATGCTGATTTGTGACGAAAAAAGAAGACTTGTCTATTCCAATACTCTAGATAACTACACATCTAAAAAGATAAAAACTTCATATTTAAATAAATTAACCATTGGCGGAAATCTTGTTTTAGATAAATATTAAATACTTCATAAGCATAACTTAGAATCCACTTTAAATGTAAATCTAAATTGAATTTAAGCTATCATCTGCAAATATCTGCAAAAGTTTATTTAAATAATAGATAATAATATAAAGTATTTTGTTTTTGCGCATTCAGCAGTAAATATGAGTTTCAAGAAAATAACTGTTTTTCAAATTTCACTAATTACCATACGTCGTGGTCTAAAGGATAAGACGCCCGGAGGTTTCGCATCAACTGATGTAACGATGTTCGAATCCCGCAGGAAGGTACTAATTTTTGTGATGAAATACGTACTTGACATATATTCATGATTGATATATTGATTCATGATTTTATTGCTTAGATGGCTGGACGAGCTTACAATCCACCTGGTGTTAAGTGGTTACTGGAGTCCATAGACATCTACAACGTAAATGCGCCACCCACCTTGATATATAAGTTCTAATGTCTCAGTATAGCTGCAACGGCTGGCCCACCCTTCAAGCCGAAACGCATTACTGCTTCACGGCAGAAATAGGCGAGGTGGTGGTACCTATCCGTGCGGACTCACAAGAGGTCCTAATGGCAGTATTTACGTTGTAGATACCTATGGGCTCCGGTGATCACTTAACCAGGAAGGTCATAAGTTCGTCTACCCGTCTAAAGCAAAAAAAAAAAAATACGCCCTCTGTAATTTCGGACCCTCTTCGGAAAGTAGTGCTGGGCTTTGCGGTAGGCAGCGGCTTGGCTCTGCCCCTGGCATTACTGAAGTCCATGGGCGACGGTAACCACTCACCATCAGGTGGGCCGTATGCTCGTCTGCATACAAGGGCAAAAAAAAAACTTTTAAAACAAGCACATTATCGACTAATTTATCGTACAAAAGCATTGGATATTCCTTCTAATTGTGAAATAGAGAACGTCTTTGCAAGAAACAAATAAAAACCACAGTCGACGCATAAAATAAACTTTAAAATCATTAAAGAGCACGCCAATAAATAAAACGTTTTCTAAAAAATATTAAACTAATTGGACGCTTTATTGTAATTAATGTCAACGTAATTAATTTATTCTTAAAAATATGATTTTATCTTGAGCGTTTAGAAATAGTTTGTGGTCTATTTGTTTTAGGTTTGTTTAAATTATGACTTAATTATTTTTTTTTGGAATACGACAAGACTGGTTTTTTTCCTATGTATTAATGAGGCACGTATATTAAGACGATATGGCTAATAAAGTCATCGCTTAGGTCATTGAAGAATGTACTGGAGCTACAAGATCAGACCAGATAGACAACAGGATAAAAATATTACTATTAAATGTTACCCTGGCAGCGATCATAGGAAACAGTAGCAAAAGGGGATTATTACATGATATCTAAGTTGCGAAATATTATATTATAGATAAAAGCAGAAAAAAAAACAGTGGCAATGAGTGGATGGCAAAGGCAGTAAGTACTTGAACGTGAATTCGTCGAATATTGTATGCATCTTCAGCCCTTTGTTGCCCACAGCTGGACATAGGCCTCCCTTGTTTTATGCCATAATGTTCGATCTTGTTTCGAGATTCAATATTTAAATTCTTCAATATTTTGATATCTATGTACTCCGATAACGATTTAAACAAACATTTAGAGCCATTCGCAAACAGCTTTTATTAATTTCAAATGCCGTTAATCCAATTTGAACATTTATTATATCTCTAAATTAGATCACAGAATATTCACTATTCTATTGACAGAAGCTCACAACCTATATAGTGTAAATTATTCAATCGAAATATCGAATGCCTTATAAATTAAGTAACTATCTACTTATCTAAAGGATTTATATTTTTAAGCTATTGCATAGCTTTTATCGCGGACTTTGAGCGCGGCGACCGAATCAAGAAATTCCGTAACGAAAATAAAACCTCACACCCCCACTCCGCCTATCATGTAGCTCACGTTCAACACATTCACACGTTGCGCTTGTGTAGTGTTTGTGAATAAGCGTGCAGTGTGACGTCGCACTGCATGTGCATCATGAAAATTCTGCCCATCTCTCTATTGCGCGGTCTAGATTATGAGTGTGAAGGGGACAGTTAATGTTTTGCTTTTGTTAATGTTTATGAATATAGCGTGGTCTTATTTTATTATTGTTTTAATATTAAATTATTATTGTCTAATTTTAATTGCATAAGTTGATAAAAAATGCTATTACCGCGGCAGTGCCCGAGTGCCACAGGAGTTTTTATTCTTAGTTTTTGTTGTTGTTATACTTCGATCAATAAAGTTGTTATAGTCTGTCTTACTTCTTACAAATACGTTATTGTTTTTTTTTAAATATGATTTATAATTAATCTTTTTCAGAAGGTACCTCGTTAAGTGATTTGAATCCCTCAATGCTTATTTTCGATTTTCCATATATCGTGTTGACGGTAGTTTGATTTTGTTCTTTTCTAGTGGCGAATATTTTTATCATTGTATGCTTGTGTGATGTCTGAATTAATTATATTTGTAAGTAGCTCAATCATTTAAACTAAATATAAAAACAACTTTAAAATTGCAAAGATTTTACATTATTTTTTCTTAGATTCTATTAAACAAAGTGTACAAAGTGCGTGTTACATCAAACAGTTTAGTCTAAATATCACACGGCAAACACAAAACAAAGATTAACATTATGAATTATTTTACTATTTTGAGTCACACCATGAGAACGAGTACGTAGGTATAATAACAGAAGAATTATGGCATATATCAGTGAATCTCGTGTGAGACGCGTTGATCTGATGGAAAACACGAAACGTGACCAGACATGTCTTTTTTTTTTATTTTAGTCTTTGACACTTCCTGTATACGTTCTAATAGTGAAATGAGCGCGAGCAATGTCATAAATTGAGATAAACATTTACATAAAGTGGCGTCCGCGTACATCCGTTTTTTGTTTTCCGTTCGATTTTATTTTGTAGTAAGTATTCAAGAAACGGCCGAAATTGGTACTTGAAGAAATTGTATCGATGATAATTATGAGTGCTTATTTTTATTTTGTGAGCGATCTGCTTACGGTTCACGGCTCGCCTATAATATGTTACATAGGGGTTTGGGAGCTATAGATGTTCAAACTTGAATACCGCCGCAACTATTGCATAGTCACGTGACTATGTATGCAATATCATCACTATTCACATATTACTATCCATATATATAAACGTCGCTGTGTGACGATTTCACTGAAATTTTCAAGAAATCTTTAGATGGCCCTAGTGAGTGATCCTGCGCAGAAAGACAGCAATCAGGTTATAGTCGAATCAAAGATCAGCCAGAAAAGGCGGGAATGACTAGTTTATAAGATTGGCGGTGGATCCCCGTGAGCTCATCACATACTGGCTCTGTTACGCTGTGATAAACCCATAGGTAACCAGCATACAGCATAAGTAGGGGAAAAAATGCAATTTATAGCATCATAATCGTCACTCGACTTGAAACATGAATTAAAAATGCCAAATATACATCGGCCGTCTCAGTCTAAAAAGAGATCGAAAAGAAAGCCGATATTGATTTTATTTTTGAACTTAAGTAATACTCGGACGTGTCACTATGGAAGTACTAAGTACTACAAGGCGTGGCGCGCTCTATATAATTTCGTACAAATATACATTTCTTATCATCAACCTGTACCGAGCACAAACGAGAGAACATTTCATTTGTATACAGACAATGTTTGAAACTAGAAATAGTTTTTGTACAGAGTTCCGTATCAATATATATATTTTTCTCCTACCTACGTCGAAAGATCGGTTTTCCTCCCGCTGTACAGGGAAGAAAGTCTAACTTTTCCGCCCTGTGTACAAGTGCGCATGCGCGTTAGTGTCTACGTCTGCTCTCACGCAACTAAAATTCTCCGCCATTGTTGTGCTCGGGTAATTTGCAATATTGCGTTTAGTGTTTTTACAATGTCGAACTTTCGGCCTGGTAGGAGAAAAAATAGTATGTGCACCGCAGGAAAAAAGTAAGACATCTCATCATTTTACACGCGGGAGGAAATGTCCTACTTTTCTCCCTTGGTGCACAATGTACTATGAATATTAGATAAAAATTGGTTACAGCTATTTATTATCTTCTTCTTCTTCTATCTTCTATATATATAAAAATGAATTGCTGTTCGTTAGTCTCGCTAAAACTCGAGAACGGCTGCACCGATTTGGCTAATTTTGGTCTTGAATTATTTGTGGAAGTCCAGAGAAGGTTTAAAAGATAAATATGAAAATGCTTGGACTTAAATAAAAATAACAATTTTGTTTTTCCTTTGATAAGTTTCCCGTTGGATGGATGGATACCTTTTGTTTGTTTTAAGTTTATTTTATAGAAAAGTTTAGGTCTTTTATTTATCGATTGAGGTATTACGAAGTCTGCCGGGTCAGCTAGTTGTTTATAAAAAAAAAAAAAACTAGTTCTAAGCTAATTACTATTGGCAGCTTGATAGCAATGACTGTGGAATGCAGTTGTACTAAAGATCTTCGTTCCACTCAAGAATGAGAGAGAGAATAAACTTAATTTAACACCAAAGCATAATTAATATTGAAAATCAGACAACAGACAGTAATAATTTGTACAATAAGCCCTAAGATGCGGTGTTTTAAACAATATTCAAAGTGATCAATTCAAATAGACCAAACATTTAAGCGCTTTATTGACCTCTTGTGAGTCCGCGCGGGTAGGTACCACCGCCCTGCCTTTTTTTTCCGTGAAGCAGTACTGCGTTTCGGTTTGAAGGGTGGGGCAGCCGTTGTAACTATACTTGAGACCTTAGAACTTATATCTCAAGGTGGGTGACGCATTTACGTTGTAGATGTCTCTGGGCTCCAGTAACGACTTAACACCAGGTGAGCTGTGAGCTCGTCCACCCACCTAAGAAAAAAATAATATTATATACATACAATATACTAACTAGTAAACTCATAATGCATCGAACCATAATTTTAGTCATTCCATGATTCCTTCGCAAAAGAAACGGTTAAAAGACTGCCTTACCAACTCGTGCGGACACCAGTACCTACTCCAAGTGGGTTTAATACTACTACAGGTGATAATGATTTTAAATTTGTTGCAACAAGAATGGAACGCATATCCGAATGTGTATTTAAATTGTCTGATTAAATTCCGGAAAATACAAAATCATTATTTTAGATTCTCTTTGACTCTAAACTTTATTTGTCCAACACCAAAGAATATACATAGATCTATTTTTTTATTGCGTCATTATCGAATCCTCAGTTTTTTTTACTACCTATTCGTTGGTAGCCCAAGAGGCTATTCCGGCTACGCCCGGACGGGTAGGTGAGCTCACGGGCTCAACTTGAGATAATTTGTTAACACTGATTGACTGCTCTTGCAGTGAAGAATCGCAGAATTTACCACTAGATTGGAATCGCGACCCACTGAGAAGAACCTGCGAGTAACTCACTGGGCTGTGAACTTACAGTCTACCTAGTATTGAGTTTTTTTATCAGAATCCATGGACATCACAGCTTGAATGTCGCAATCTATGTAACATGAGGTCGAATATATGCAGACCAAGGTCAATGAACTTGTGAGACGTCAGGACTAATAGTGACGAGACTTGTAATATTTATTACGTTACCAGCTTGAAAGCTTCATTATATGACATAAAGCTTCATGCTCGTCGTTTGTGAGCCAATAAAATTTTTTGGACGCGGAACCCCAACGATTGTAAGAACTAACAAAAGTTAAACACAGTTTTCCGGCTTTACATAACTGTGAGTTATCGCATCTTCCCACGGTCGCCGGTATGCGAGTACTTAATTCGATGAACTGCACTGCTGTTAATGTTCCAACAGGATCTAAGTTATTAATTGTTTACGTAATTACTACAAGCTTACAGCCTTCTTTAAAGTCACATAAGTGAGAAGTCTGAAATGTCGCGGTCGGTTGGGCCATTACAGAGTAATCTGCCTTAGTTTTACTTATACTCCATCTTCTTAAATGGCGCCATGTCGATTTCGTTGTTAATTAAATATGGCGCGAAATTTCCCTATTCAAAATTAAATCAAACATTTTTGGACAATGTTCGAAATTGAAATTAAATATGACAGAAATGATGGCCTCTTTTCGGATAAAAAAAATATATTGAAAAGCAAAAAAAAATCAGAATCTTCTAATTAATCTATAAATTTAATATCAATAATTCCTAAGTAAATTGAATGAACATAAATAGACAGACGTAACTATTCTTTATTTTAATTTATTTTATGTACCTACTATCTATAAAAACATCTTTCCGATGTGAGACTATTTTATGTGAAGCAGAAATGAAAATTAACGTGATAATTACTGTAAATATTTTCCTAAGGCATATAGAATGACTTAGAATGAACATAAAAATAAATATTCAAACGAATCTCTCATTCGAAGTACTTACATTCTTCTGCGTTCTTCTAATATTCTTGGCGTCGTACAAGAAATTTCTCGTACATCAATTAAACGTTTGAAAAAAAAAACTTTTAAAACGATTCGTTACGATCATTACCATTCCGATTAAATATGGAATACGTTCTGAGATTAGTGGAAGTCGGCTAACGGCCGCGAACAGGTCTTTAAACCCGAATGATCCAATTAAAATCGCCGCAAAACTTAATAATTGCTTTAAAAATACCGCGTGGCAAGATAAAAACAATAATTTCGTTCTTCAAGAATTACGACGCGATGCTAAAAAAAAAATTTTAAAAATAATAAATCCGAAGTTGCCGCTCCGATGAAATGCGGTGATATTCATTCAGTAAAGTTATTTCAATACAAATTACAGCTACTTGCGTTGCTTCACTCCGCGTGCCGACAATTCTGCAAATATTTTACTCTTCTCTAACACTCGGGATTCGAGATGCCAGCTCGTGTGGTCGTAGAAGCGAAAATCAGCCTTAATAAATACCGCAGAAACACGAGAATCCTGTGCGTTTCACGTGAATTTAAGATGTTTTTATTGTGGTTACGACCGACTTGATTGAAATTCCGTGTACCATTAACGTATATGTAGTAGATGGTAGCTATTTATTATATTACACGGTAAAGAGTTATGTACTATGTAGAAGCTCAAGATGAATTGTCTTGCAACTCAAAAATAATCGAAACAGTAAGAAAAAAACCGGGTAATATTAGTCAAAATTTTGTTCACAAAGGGTATCTGAAACCCAACTTTTTTATTATTTTATGGCATCTTTTATCTTTTACCGGGTCCAGATTTTAGTTCGGAGTCGCTACCTGTATCAAAGCTATTTCGTATCCGAGATCTGAGCGAATTTGTTTTTATCTCAATCTTGTGTTTCCCACATCAACAACACAAGAGAAAATCGTAACTTATCTATTTTCGATATGGAATTTTTGTTTATTACAATTTTTTGTTTATTTATTATTTAGATGTTAGAAAATAAATGTTGATGAGTGCGAAAGATACTTGTCACTTCAGTTTTATATCTAAAGGATAAGTAAATAAGTAGGTATATCGAAAAACTTTAACATTATGAAACTCGCTTCATACTGTCAAGGAAAACTGAAAAACTATAAGAAGTAAATAAGAAAATTCTAGTTGTTTCATATATTAATAATAATTTTCCAAAATATTTTTCATTCAATTTGACAAACATCACCGATGTTATGTTGAAATGATGATATTATCTATCCCCCATTTTAACTAATTGCATGCAGGTTCAATAATTTAATTTATTAATGAATTAATAAAACTTTTCCGCACATCACTAGTACATCTCAGCACTAGTTAGTTTTTTAAGGCAAGTATCAGTCGTCTTCTTGATAGATAAAGTATCAATGAGTGTCAGCTCGAATAGAAACCTTGTTCCAATGAAATAGGAAAAAAAAGAGCGAAAATGTACTGAAGCACTACAAATACCTATATACAGTTCATCATTACGCTACTAGAAGAAGTAAAATATTCAAAGTAGTGTAGTCAGTATATCAATTATTCGACGAACAGGAGTTGTCGTGGTTCGTTCACACTCCCCGTACGTCCGCATTAACATACCGCGCGAGTAAATCTCCCCGCTATTGGGTGGGCCGGAACGATTGTCACCTTTTAAATTTGCATTCATTACCATTCATTATTCCGAGCGTGTCATTAACTGATAATAATATAAAGTGCGATTATACATGCCGATGTTTTGTTAATTTTTCTTTATTCTGTAGTCGCTGGTGCTGTGCAACTTGTTGAACACGGTTAAATCTTAGTTTTATTATTTTCGACAATTGAAATATATTAGTTTTCGTGGTAATGGACAACTATAATGCTATTCCTACATTTGAATATTTTGCTGACTACCGTAAAAACCTTTATTTAAAAAAAATTGTGACGTTTCCGTTTCTTTTTACACAAAAAAGAACTAGCAATGTCTTGAGGTCTGGCACTTTTTGAGAGTATGAAATACGATAAACCAAACTTATTTATTTTATTGCTTAGATGGGTGGACGAGCTCACGGCACACCTGGTGTTAAGTGGTTACCTAAGCCCATAGAAATCTATAACGTAAATCCTGCCACACACCTTGGGAAAAGAGTTCTAAGTTATCAGTTTTAAGAGTACCTACATTACATTAAGGGCTTTTTTTAAATTGTTCCGTAATATTAATCATAAGTGAAGAAAATGTTATTACTACTTCAGTTTTTGGTGGCAGGCAATGGAATATTTAATACAAGTGAACTTCAATGAATTGAATTAAAAACATTTTTTCAAATATCTAAACTATTAGCATATCAAAAGATTGTGTAATGTGAACGTATCTTTATGCTGGAATCATTGTAATCGCGTACTTAGCCTCGTTTTGCATGATTAGGCGTCGTAATGTTTTCATTTTGTGTTCATTGTGAACGCCCCTGTTTGTCATGGGCTGGTTCTTTGTGACGTCAGTACTGGGCTTAGGGTTGTCGTCCTATTCACTAACAATATGATTCCAGTTTTTTTTAACATGTCGTTAAAAAGTTAATACTAAAACTGAGTAATAAATGTGGATTGAGATAAATGTTGTATGTTGTTTTATTTATTATTTCTGTTGGTATTTTTCTGGAAGCCAAACCACGCCTTTCTTAGAATTAAAAATATTTCAAATTAAAGATTTAATAACTTTGTTAACTTATTTATCTATTGTATTCTATGGATTTTTTTACGAAGTAAATTTCACATGTAATATTTCATTAAGGTAATAGAACGCTTTTCAATTCACTGATTATGTTTAAATCGTGTTTTGACAGATATCCCAAATGCTTTTTTTATATTGGAAATAAGAGATATAAATAAGCAACACTGTTTTTGGTCTGAAAAAAACAAACAATCGATTTTAATGACGTATGTAGATTACTTTAACTTTTATATTGAGAATGTTCTAGAAATAATAATTTATGACGCTTTTATTAAATTTTCAATATTAATGGCTGCCATCACATATTTTAGATCGGATTTAACAAAACATTAATCGTCTCTTTCACTGTGTCCAGTTACTGAGTGAATTAAATACGTTATATAAATCACGGGTCCTCATTAAGGAACTCACCTTGCCATATTGAGTAAAAGAAACAGCAAAAAAATTACGGCCGCATGGAATGTCTCGGTCATTCTGTGTTCCCCAAGAAAAAAAATTTTTTTCATGTTGGCAACACCACTTGTCTTTTTCGCGGGCTCATTTTAACTTGTCACTTCGCTGTCGACCGGTGAGATTTCGACACTGCGCACTTTACATTCACTGTTGCCTTCGCATCGTTACCGATACTATGGTTTTCATATTTAAAAAAAAAAAAACTGCCAATTAAGCAAAACCGATAAGGATTTTGTGTGTTCCGTTGTGTTACAGTTCACGGTGTGTTTGTTATTCGCATTTGTTTAGTTCGGTTGTTGTGACCGATTTGTCGGCTCGATGCCGTCGGTTGTTGTAGCGCGTTCGGTCTCGCCTGGCGTTGCGTCAAGCGCGTGGGACGCAAGGCGTGCTCCTCGCGCCGCCCAGACGCCGACGAAAAAACTAGAGGGGCGTCTTCGGACGGCCCCACCTACTCGCTATATCCTCGCGCACATTTATTATTATTTCGGCAAAGTTTCGATGTTATTGGTGATACGCGGTCGTCTGCACACAATGAACTCTCGTTAGACAGTGACGCCGTGGACGCGATCCCTCTGCCTATAAAACGTCGCCCCCGTTCTATTGTTCCCGGTCACGAGACGCGTTCCCGTGGCACATGTCAAGGGATTCGGACATCGTTTGAAGCAGGCATTGAATGCACATAAAACCAATACCGATCGACAAAACTTAGTTAAAAGTGGAAAGTAATCACCGACGGATAATGGAAACCACACCAATGAAAAAAACCTTTAGAATTTTAGGAACTACATACTTGTATGTATCAGATATACAGTTGATGTTAATAACGTGGAAATTCCCGAATATGTTTTATTGGAATACTATAAATAATAAAAACTTTAATGATGACATTTGTCATTGATTGAAACGATTCAACAACAAATCGAGAGGGTTCAAATATTACAATACATCACAATGTAAACCCCTAAGGTTAAGGGTTGTCAATGAACCCTTCATTAGGGCTTAAAAATCGCAAGCACGTGGACGAATAAACATTTCCTTTTTTTGTTTTTTATATTTTGAGCTCTAAGCTTCTAGGGGTGGAGTATAAAATCCTGCGCTTCAAGGAAATACCCGATCAATGTCAAAAAGAAAAAATGTCGCATCAATTATTTCGTTTTTGCAAAATGTTTTTAATTAAAATGAAACAGGAGGGCTGATTTTTTTTACTAGTTTATCTTTCTCTGATTTGTTTTCATTTTTAGTATTCAATTTATTTTTCCTTCAAGTCTAAAATGGAACACACACTTACGCAATATCCATCAAGAAATTGACATACCTATCAATTTTACATACATTTGTTTTTTAAAAGACTACTTATGTGAAATAACTATGAAGACAGTATAATGAAGGTTAAACAGTTTTTGCTACCATCTGAAGAGTTAAAAGATTATTCAAGACCTATTTTAGATTAAGCACTTTAAAATTCATTATCATTAAAATTAAATGCTTACAAAATAACCCTTCGCCGTAACCATAAACAGGCATCTATGAGTATTGGTGGTCCTGCAGTAGTCGAAATTCGACTATAATTAATTGAAATTATAAATTTGAACATTATCATGGTCCTATTGTTGAAGACTATTATACTTCTATAATAACAAATTTTACCAAGACTACACTATAGACAAATAATATTAAAGATAAACAATATTAACTTATTCTCAATTTGACCACAGACTTTGAGCAATAACAAAAGTTTGACAATAAACGAAGAGTATAATTATACATATAAGGTACGTGTGTGTGTCAAATGCATGGTAGTTGATGTGAGTAATTGATTTAATGTATTATTAATGCATAATTTAAAAAAAAAATTGCATTCTGCACTCCTTCTCTATATTCTCTATAAGTGTAGGAAATTTCATACTCCTCCGTCTGTGCAATTTTCGTAAAAATGGGTACAAAGTTTTTGCTTCACGTATTAATATATAGATTGATCATTAAGTGGACGTACATACAAAGTGTGTCCGCTAGTAAGTAAGTACATCTCAGTGTAGGCGACCCATCTTAAAACCGATAGATAGCTCCTGGTTTATTTTAGTTGGTCCTTTTTTAATTCCCTCTACCTAATCCGTAGCCTAACGGGCTATCTCAAATACGCGCGGGCGGAAAATTCTACAACAGTATTAAACTCCTATAAAGATCTAGGGCACTTATAAAATTCTTTGTTCGTTTCGGCTTGAACTTACCATATTTGAGGTTCCGGGCTGGCTACAGCTAGACCACAAATACAAACAATGATAATGACAATGTGTCTACAACATCGTAACCGAGAATTTCTCGTATCGAAATATCTTGAGTACTAATGAATTTCGCAAAATTGACTAATTGCGAATTCATGTAGCTTTTCATATCTGTATGGTTTTTCTTATATTACATTTCCTTAAAATTTCCAATTTCCCTGTGATGACGAGACGTGCCCTATTTATAGATCAACATGCTAAACTGAATTCATTGCTATTTACTAAAGTAAAACTATTTGGGGTTTCATCCATTCATACATGTAGTAGAGGTTTGGATTTGTCACAAAATGCTCTTAAAAATCCCACATCATATGTTTCTTATTTTTTCAAACGCATCTTGCTGATTTTCAACAATAACTTTATCGTCTTCATTAATAGTAGCAGTAATGCTTTCTATCCACACATTTTAGCTTCTTGTCTATTGGCTATATTTCACAAACGAGAAACATTTTATCGGACTCTTTATAACCTACTCGTATATCTGCGGATATCTCACGATTATCAAACTTTAGTGCGTTAGTGCTTTAACAGGAAAAGGGTTTCATTGGCCTTATTTACATTTGTATCTTGAAAATTTCTTATCGACAAGAGCGGTTTTGAGCCGCGACTTGAGAATTAATAGATAAAGCATGACCTATGCGAGCGGACGACATTTTTATCTGGATCAGCAGTTTGAAGCCCATTTGAAATTAAGGGGAGGTTTTCCAAAAAAAAAAGACGCTCTCAATATGAGATATGTAGTTTTTGAAATTGTCTACGCTACGAAGTAACTAAGAACAACTAATATCGGTACTGTAGAAAATGTATATTATGAACTGTAGACAGTATATGAAAATAAAGACTAACATCGGTGTTTTGCATAGACGGACAGATAAATGGGCTCAACACCTCCCAGGTGCTAATGTCGCCACTCACGTTGAGACATGAGGTTGACGTCTCAAGTTCTTTGTATAAAGACTGTCCCGTCCCCCTCCATCAAATTGGAACACACGACTCCTGTGGCAGATTATGGGGGGAATATGATGAAATTCAGTGTCAGGTACATATCGACGGGAGAAAGCGAAAATGTCGTAACTTGCATTTTGAGCTAAATCACTCTTTACCATATTATATTATAGATATGGTTCTGGTTTAAAGTTGGGTTTTTCAACTTACGATCATTCCGCTTTCTTCCGATGAGAAAGAAATACTATTTCTTTAATAAACCAGTTTCTTTCTGCCGTATAAGTAGATACTTCAGTGGACTTATGCAGGCATGCTTCTTTTAAATTTGCTTTATAGATGTCAATTAATTCAATAAGGATTATGTCAATAAGGCGTCATAATTGAAATCATTATGTTCTTTATGGTGATCTAAGATTTTCAGATGGAGACTTGGGTGAGCGGGTCAATGACTCGCGATTGATAGCCTAAATGCGCTGTTATTTATGTGATATCTAAAAATACAAGTACCTGTGTATTGTTATGCGCAGTCAGGGCGGCATGCAAATTCGGTGCTTTGATCTCAGCGCCCCGCGTCACCACTCCGCCGAAGTGCGCTTTCAAACATTAGTCTTTATTCGTTTGTAGCTGGATTCTTTGGCACGATAGGGATGGGTGGCTTTAATTGTCCCAATTGAATATATTATTTGGATGTACATATCTGATTTTCTTTTTGATCTGAAATCATAATTTATTCAGCTCTATCTCTATCTAGAAGCTATTGTTGTGGATATTCATGACCATATATGCTATGCTAAGTCGTCGTGGCCTAAAGGATAAGACGTCCGGTGCATTTGTATCTAGCGCCGCACCGGTGTTCGAATCCCATAGGCGGGTAGCAATTTTTTTAACGAAATACGTACTTAACAAATGTTCACGATTGACTTCCACGGTGAAGGAATCATGTAGTAAAAATCAAACCCGCAAAATTATAATTTGTGTAATTACTGGTGGTAGGACCTCTTGTGAGTCCGCATGGGTAGGTACCAGGACCCTGCCTATTTCTGCCGTGAAGCAGTAATGCATTTCGGTTTGAAGGGCGGGGTAGCTGTTGTAATCATACTGAGACCTTAGAACTTATATCTCATGGTAGGTGGTGGTATTTACGTTGTAGATATCTATAGGTTCCGGTAACCGCTTAACACCAGGTAGGCTGTGAGCTCGTCCACATAAGTAATAAAAAAAATGTTAGAAGTACGACCACGTCCCTCTCTCTACAATTATGAATCTCTAGGGTAAGCTTAGTACAATATACAATACATACATGGTGTTTTGATTAATTCAATGCTCTATAACAGCTATCCAAATAAATAGAATAACGCGAATCTTGCAGTTTTCGGTAGCTAAATTCGTCCTAGAAAAACTAACTGACAACCCTAACTGAAAACCTAAAGTATGTGTATAAAAAACGCTGCCTGAGTCTAGACTCAAGATGAGTGCTCTTTATAATCTGTTTGATGAATGAGATACCTTGAAAATTCCAGAAAAATAATTAGACACAATGGTTCTGAATTGAATCGTGTAAACAATAACATACATATATAAATACATACTATACTTCCACGGTGAAGGAATAACATCGTGTAATGAAAATCAAACCCGAAAAATTATAATTTGCGTAATCACTGGTAGTAGGACCTCTTAGGAGTCCGCACGGGTAGGTACCACCACCCCGCCTATTTCCGCCGTGAAGCAGTAATGCGTTTCGGTTCGAAGAGTGGGGTAGCCGTTGTAACTATACTGAGACCTTAGAACTT